GCTAGGATTACAGGCGTGAGCCACCACGCCCGGCCCATTATTTTTTTTAATGGAGATAAAATTCACACTTTAAAATGGTTAAAAAGAAATAGGTTAAAATTAATTTACCATACAATGAAACATAAAACATAAAATTTAACATAAAACTAAAGTATGTAATTCAGTGGCATTTAGTACATTCACAATGTTGTGTGGTTAACTATAACCTCTAGTTCCAAAATATTTCATTACTCCAAAAGAAAATCCCAGTTGCCATTATGTTTTAAGTAGGTCTTTTGAAGTTATTGTTGAGTTTTAATTTCAGTTCATTCCTTTTGGAAAGATGCAATGGCCTCTTCAGTCTCTTTGAGAATATCTCACCAAATGTTACTTGGCTTTCCACTTTATTGATCTATTTCCATTTTATTGTTCTATTATTATGTAAAACTATTTCCAGAGATCAAAGTAAAATTTCTCTTCCTCTGAGTAGATGGGTTCTTTGTGCATTGAGTAATCTTTTCTACAGCAATTTGATTCATATAACTATTTTCTTGTATCAGTCATGTCAAACTATTCAACACAGCGGTGAGCAAGCTCCATCTGTCTGCCTATGTATAACCTATTGACAGATCAATCGCTATTTACCTAGCCAGCTACTGGCTTGAGAAATAAATCATTAAGTGATTAAATGTTTACTGTAATCAACATTCTTCTATTCAAAAACTAAGTATCTTGAAAACTGGCATTGTTGGGGGCAACTCAAATACTAAAATCTGTAAATAATTGAGAAGATCCAATACAGCTATTTAAAAATTTTCTTCCCAAACCACCTCCTTTATCATATTTCAAAATTAGGCACCAATTTCTCATTGTTGACTGCTGGTGTTCCTTATTGCTCTACTACATTTTATGCCTTTATGTGTGTCCTTGTGCCTGCAACTCTTTCTACAGACTACCCCCATAAATATCTCCTCTTCCAAGATTTCATTCCAGGGTTACCATCTCTGGAGTCTTTTTTGCTACATGAGAAGAACCAACCTTATTACTATACCTTGTAAACACTTCTAATAAAATACGCATATAGCATTTATTTATGTCTTTATTCTCTGAGGGGACCAGTAGCAACTTGAGAGCAAGGGTCAGGTCCTTTTTGTCTTTTATAGTCCTGGTGTCTATTTTATATGTAATCAAATCTTTTACTGGATAGTTGGTTAAAGTAGGTAGAGAGGAAGCAAAGGCTTTATCATTTGAAGGCTTTATCATTTGAAGAATTAGTAGAAAGAACTGTGATCCCCAACCTCCAGGCTGTGGACCAGTGTGGTCTGTGGCCTGTTGCAGGGCGGGAAGCTGATGGGAGGTAGGCGGCGGGCTAGCGAGGCTTCATCTGTGTTTGCAGCTGCTCCCCATCGCTCCCCGGCGTCACTACCTGGGCTCCACCTCCTGTCGGATCAGCAGGTGCATTTTATTCTCACAGCAGCCCGAACCCTACTGTGGACTGTGAATGCTTCAAGGGATCTAGGTTGGGTGCTCCCTGTGAGAGACTGGTGCCTGATGATCTGGGGTGGAGCTGGGGGTGGAGCTGGGTTGGTTGTGCTGGCGCTGGGGAGCAGCTGCAAGTGCAGATTGTTGTTGGCAGAGAGAGCTGACTGCACAACGAATGTGGTGTGCTTGTGGTGTGCTTAGGTCATGCAGGGATCATCTGCCTCCCCCACCCCACTACTGTCCATGTAAGGATTATCTTCCATGAAGCCGGTCCCTGATGTCAAAAAGGTTGGGGACCGCTGTTAGAAGATTTGTACTACCAAGAAGAAAGAAGAGAGTTTCAGTGTTTTATATCTTTGTATAGCCCTGGGTTATGAACATGCTGAAGTTATATATCAATCATATAATATAAAAACCTTCAAAGTAGTCATGATTACTTACATACACTTGAGCCCTGTATTTGACAAGACAGTTGGCACCAGCTTCAGGATTAAACTTAATTTCAAAGTCATAACCTTTGGAATTCTCAGCACCTTTAGGGATAAGTTTTAATTTTCTAGCCAATTTGTGATACTCTGCTAATTGTGTTTCAATCTGTAAGAAGAGAACACAAAAAGAAACGTTAAAGCAGCCCCATTCCATATGGTTTTCAATTGGTATTTTTGCAATTTTATACAATATATATTTCATCTATTTTTAGTAGTTTAGTAATTCAGTACTTTTTGCAGTAAGTAGCAGTTTTAACATACACAAAGGGCTGGGTGCAGTGGCTCATGCCTATAATCCCAGTACTTTGGGAGGCCATGGTGTAGGACTGCTTGAGGCCAAGAGTAAGAGACCAGCCTGGGAAGCATAGTGAGACCTCATATCTACAAAAAATAAAAAATTAGCTGGGCATGGTGGCACGTGCCTGTAAGTCCTAACTTCTTGGGAGGCTGAGGCAAGAGGATTGTTTGAGCCCAGGAATTCAAGGCTGCAATGAGCTGTGACTGCACCACTACACTGTGGCCTGGGTGATAGAGCAAACTCTGTCTCAAAAACAAGCAAAAAACCCCCCAAAACACAAAGAATGAAAAGTTTTAGTCACACTTAATTTATAGAATAATTAAGACTATAATTGATTGGTGAGTAATATACTACTGTTCTTCCACTTACTTGACAAACAGTTTGGAATAAGAGTCCATATTTAGGTATTAACTGAAATTTACTTTTTAAAGTACTAGATAAAGAAATTATGAAAGAATACATTCAATCTTAGTTTTGTTAATGTACAAATTAAAACATTTCATTTATCTAAAATAAGTGAAATGTAATCATTTAAGTCTGAAAATGTTATTTTAACTATATTGATAAAATATTTTAGTAACATATTTTTTTCCTTCCTTCATGGCTCTGTTCAAATTATGTCATCAGAAAGGCTTTCCCTCTGCCATAGCCCCTAGTTTTCCAATGCTTACTTTATTTTTCTTCATAGTACTCATCACTGCCTGACATATATATGTTCACTTCCACTACTTGAACATAAGCTCCATCAAAGTAGCTGTACCCTCAGCACCTAGAACAGTGTTTGGTATATAGTAAACTTATTATATAATATTTGATTGAAGAAATGAATTTGCAGAGTCCAGGAAAGTTGCTTTTACCCTGCTTCTTCCATTTTAATATTAATATATACTTAGTTTCTCATTGTTTTTACCCATCCATAAGAAGAAATAATTTGAGTGAAGGAATGCAATGGTAAGAACACACATAGGACCTTGCTTAAATAATTTGCAATATCCAAAAATGCATCAGATCTCAAAAGCAATTATATTAAATTAAAAATTCTTCTACTAATGAATCAGGAAATCATTTCAATTACTATATTGTAATACAGCAACTCTCTAGAGACTACTAAGGTATGTAGGTCTGTTAGTCCTTATGTTAATAATAAATGGTTCTGGAAGTAGTTTCTTTTTAATCTAATGAAAACGGCTTTCACGAGCCAATGTACTTTATCATGCCTAACTGCAGGAGAGCAACTATGTGACACATATTTCTCTATTTTCTCCTCATGACCAATTCAGACAGAGAAAACTTATCACACTCTTTCCTGATGAATCTAGATGTGGTCTCAATGTCTATCTCAACAAAGAGCTCCAGAAGGCTACTATCACCAGTCAGAGTTGGCATGTGGAATAAAAATTAGCCCAGAAAAAAAGACAAAGGATGCAATGTTTATGTTGCTCCTTTGCATCCTGTCCCCATCCTTTAAAATCCGTTGTACCTAACTCTCAGGTACCCAGTGCCCTGAGGCTTTCTTTGCACTGTCCACAGCCCTACTCTGGCCCATCACCAGGCCACTGCTTACCCACTTCCCAGATTTTTTTCTCGTTTTGGCCTGGTCCTCCAAATCAAAATTGTTACTTGTTTTAGAACAGCTCATTTTAGTTAGTTAAATGCAGAGTTCCCTAGGCTAGAGAGTCATAACTTTCTCTTTCCCACAGTTTGAGAGATAATGAGGAACATTCATTAACATCCATTGAACTAACTCATTTCAGATTCACTGATCTAGCTTAATCACACTTAATTTTATAAATAGGTAAACTAAGGCTATGAAAAGCTTGATGACACAGTGAGGTCACATAAGTGGGTAGTGGCAAATCCAGGACTAAAACCCAGGTTTACCAAATTCTGTGTTCAAAGACTTTGGGCTCAACTCCACAGGCTATTTCTTATAAATGTATATTTTTCTTTTTGATACACGAGGACAGAGATTACCTAGAAGGGTCAGCAAGATGAAGGAATATAGAGGGCTAAAGTATGTTTTCTGTATGGTGAAACAGATTCCAGAAAGGAGATACTGCTAACTGCTTATCCTAAACTGTTCATTCCATGTTAAGAATTATATAGGTAACTGTTCTTGTTAAATTAACAATGGCTGGATACTTTCTGGACAGCCCTTGTAGAAAACAGACTTTTAATAATGCAAAACAGTTAAAACCTGACTGATTAAGAAACTATAGTACTTTGCATTATACCTATAATGTAGTTTATAATGTGATCAGAACAGAAAACTAGTATTGGCCCCTTGGGCAAATAAAATTGCTTTGATTGAACAACTTTTTTCATTTCAACAATGGTGATAAGTATACGTAATAAATACTGTACTAAGGAAAGTGCTGGAGATAATTGTATTAAAAAAACCATTACTTTGGGAGCAAAAGTTAGAGACTAGATTTTTCTCAGTGAGGTTCAAATTTTAGAATTACACTTATCAATAAATATTGTAATTGAAAATACAAGGGTAAAAAAACGTCAAATCAAAATATAAGTTTGACACTCTCTGGTCTCTATTTTTCTCCATTTTAAAAAAATAAATGTCTTTTAAGCACATGTTTTCTTTCCTTTTCTTAAAAAAGATCACTGTGGGCTGGGGGCGGTGGCTCACACCTGTAATCCTAGCTCTCTGGGAGGCCAAGGAGGGCAGATTGTTTGAGCTCAGGAGTTCGAAACCAGCCTGAGCAAGAGCGAGACCCCGTCTGTACTAAAAATACAAAGAAATTAATCGGACAACTAAACATATATAGAAAAAATTAGCCGGGCATGGTGGCGCATGCCTGTAGTCCCAGCTACTCGGGAGGCTGAGGCAGTAGGATCGCTTGAGTCCAGGAGTTTGAGGTTGCTGTGAGCTAGGCTGATGCCACGGCACTCACTCGAGCCAGGGCAACAGAGTGAGAATCTGTCTCAAAAAAAAAAAAAAAAAAATCTTTTAAGCACATGCTTTCTTTCCTTTTCTTAAAAAAGATCACTGTGGGCTGGGGGCAGTGGCTGACGCCTGTAATCCTAGCTCTCTGGGAGGCCGAGGCGGGCGGATTGTTTGAGCTCAGGAGTTCGAAACTAGCCTGAGCAAGAGCGAGATCCCGTCTCTACTAAAATTAGAAAGAAATTCATTGGACAACTAAAAATACATAGAAAAAATTAGCTGGGCATGGTGGCGCATGACTGTAGTCCCAGCTACTCGGGAGGCTGAGGCAGTAGGATCGCTTGAGTCCAGGAGTTTGAGGTTGCTGTGAGCTAGGCTGACGCCACGGCACTCTAGCCCGGGCAACACAGTGGGACTCTGTCTCAAAAAAAAAAAGATCACTGTGGAACTATTTGATAGAAAAAATATCCCTAGACAACCTGTTAAATTATTATGTTGTTTTAGAATACATTAGTGTCATGTACATGATTATACTGAATCACTAAGAAAAAGTTTATTTACAAGAGTAAGTAGTGTATGGTAAGGCAAGAGTAAAGAGCATTTATAAAAGATTACCTATAAAAATAAGGCTAAATTTTATCTAGAAATTCATATGGTCAGAAAGTCCTTTTTATCAACAATGTTGGCTAAATTGTTAATGTACTACCTGCAAAATTAAAATTAAGTCGAATAATTTGCTTTTTTTATGCTGAGGCCCAAACCCATATATACAGTAGCCTATTAAGTATTTTTACTTGGACATGGATATAACACATCCATCTCCATTCTTTACTGACAATTTCTTCCTTCTCCTCTATTCCCAAAAGAGTGGCACTACTGCCCAGTTTACCTAAGCCAGACAGGGCAACTGCTTCCCTTCTCTTTCATCAACTCTTATTCACTCTGCCTCCTAAGGGGTGAGAATCTATCCACTTCTTTGAATCCTCACTATTTAAATTTAGCTTGTAATTTCTCAATAGATTACTGCCACAGATTTTCATATTACCAAAAATAAGATCTTTCTAAAATGTGATCACACCTGTTTAAAAATTTTAAGGTCTTCTTAGAGCTGTCAGGATAAAACCCAAACTTTTAAACATGAAGAGTTGTCACCCTCTGTGAAGTTGTCACCTCTCTAAGCTTACTTCTTGAGTCTCATCTCTCACTACGTCCCCCTTCCTATGAAGTTCCAGCCATAAGAAAAGCTTACTCATCAGACCGTTTTCTTTCTGACCTTTCCCATATACTCCTTCTTTTGCTAACCCTCCTACCTTTGCCATGCTAACCCTTCCTTGTACTTCCCAGTTCAGTTCCGGTGTTTTCTCTTTAAGAAAGCCTTTTCTAAAAACACCTCACCCATCTCCCCACAACATGTACACTAAACCTGGGTTAGGTATACTATGTTTCCTCAGTACCCTGTGCAAACATCCATCTATTAGAGGTCTGATCTCATGGTAGAAAATATAAACTAGGTTGGAAGTTTCTTAAGGGGAAGGTTTATGTCTTTTTATCTTTATTTTTGCTATGCCCAGCATGGTAAGTGACACATAGCAAATGTTACATAAATGAGTAGTGAATAGGTAAATGAAGGACTCATTTCCTCTTCTACAGAGTAAGAGGGATGGAATATATGAAAATTATTTTCATGGCCTTAGAGACTTTTTTTGCTTATTTCTTAGTTCATTGTTTTAAAACATAGGCTATCTTAAATTTGACTGAGAGAAATTGGGGTGTAACTAAATTGACATAAAGGGATAAGTGTTTTATTAAAATGTCAGTGCTAAAAAATTTTACTCCTTTAGCTGATTTATTCTAACCACTGAATTCCTCTTAATTGCGAGAGACCTTTACAAAGGTCAGCTATGGAGAGTTGCCTCTCTGGAAATGGTATGACATACCGCCTCTTTGCCTCTTGCGTATTTTAGTTCCTCATTCCACAACTTCTGCTGTTCAGCCTCCAGGTCCTTGGTTAATTTATTAATAGTCTGTTGCAATTCATTTCTTTCATGATTTATTCTCTCAATGTCTGCAACTGAGTACTTCTGGTTATCAATAATATTCTGTAGTCGAGTGTTCTCCTGTTTTATTGCTTCATATTCTAGCTCTGCATTAGGAAAAAAAACATTTTATTTTTCTTTTTAGAGATGGGGTCTGGAAATACACAAATTTTTACAGTTTTTAAAATTCCCACAAAGAAACAGATGACATTATTTAATACAGCTATCTAAATTTCCAAGTTATATACATATATTTTCTCTCTTTTTTTGGATAATTCTGTTTGATTCCACTTTGTTAATAACATTCTTGAAGATGATTACAATTAAAGTTTTATGCTAGAACCTTATTTCCCTATTGGCTTGCTATGGTTTTCAGAAACTACTATATGAAAAAACTGTGGCCCCACACAATGATTACAATTAAGAATCCTAAGGCTATGTACTGGGCCGCACCCTGAGTGGGGAGCAGCTAAGGAGCCAAGGGACACTCTAGGCTGCTGCGCATCGTTGGTCAGTGCCAGGGCTGGGCTGAGGTGCTGTGCTACCATGAGGGGCCGAAATTTAAGAGATTATGGTATTTAGAACCCCCAATGTTAAAAAACAGAACTTTTGTAATAACATTGAGGATCATTCCATTGTTCTTCCTAGAAAAAGTGTCTCTGATTTCACTAATAAGAACATGAAGAAGGTTAAGAAATCTTCAAAACGGTTGGATGATTACGTAAATAGAATAGTTACACAAGCTGTGAAAAGCCCAGATAAACTACATAAGATGATCTATCATAGAATGAAAGTTCCTCAGCCCTTCCTAAATCCTTGTTACAGGAAAAAAAAAACCAGTTCCTTAGAAGTGGGGGATGTGACATAGCAAATAAAGACAATGATCAGGCTTGTGCAGGCCACCTTCCTGAAAAATTATGCCATAATGGTTGAGTTGAACATATTCGGTTAACTCCAGTGATTCTGTTTTTTTCACAGACACATAGCCAATCATCAAAATATGGTGGTTTTTTTCCCTGAGGTTTCTCAGGACCATGAAACAACGGCCCAAGTTTTTGTTCAGCAGGAATTTGAGATTGAATGTAGCTTTACCTTTCTGCAGAAAGAGAAGTATAAGTGAACTTGTAGCTTATTTGGTGAGGAGGGAAGATCTTGGAGTTGTGGTAGATTGACTTCCTGTGCTCACCAATAATTTACAGAAAGAAAAGCAATATATCTCACTTGGCCGCTGTGTAGCCTTGTTGCCTCTAGTAAAGTCACTACTTAAAAGCAAATTTGGAGAATATGCAATAGTTGGATTAAACTGGCTTCAAGTAGTTATAAAAAGTTGTTAGAACTATCATTCAAAATAGAAATTACAAATGATAGAAGTATTCAGATTCTAAAACAATAATTAAGTGGATTGTGGGAACAGGAAAGCCATCTCACTTTGGTTCCAGGATACACTGATAATATAGCTAAGGACATAGATGCTTATTTATTACAGCTGCATTGAGAGATTTCATCTACTAAAGAGCATTTGGTTATTCAAAACATCCCTGGACTAAATGATTTACAAAAAGAAAGGTCTCATCTGAGAACTGTGGAAGAAATCAAAACCATTTTTTTCTTTTAAAAAGCCATATAATGAAACCACTAATAAAATCCTAACAATCTTCTTCACATTGAAGTGGAAAAATATCCAAAAGGAGCAACTTCAGCTTCAATGAGGTGAAAGTGCACTAGGAAGATTGTTTGACTTTCTTTGCTGCATTTGGGATTTATACGGTTATTTAGTAACATTGTGTAAGAACCACTGGGTCTTAATGCAGTTTTGCATAAGAATATAATTTATAGTATGTGAAAAAATAAGACAGGACTTATTACTAGGAACCACAAAGACCCATCATCATTAACTTTTTAAAGTTTTGTTTTATAAAAAAACACTTAAATACATGCAGCTATTTTCTTATGCTGAAAAGAACAAAAGTTTAAAACATAAAAAAGAAAAGGAATCTTTACGTTTAAGAGGGATAGACTGTCTCTGTTAATGTTCAGGTCAAATGCTTTTAATACTCCTGCATGATTCTTTGTAATAATTCAGAAAACCACAAGTTTTTTTTTTACAAACACAAGAACATTTATAATAAAATACATCAGAGTTTATTCATATTTTACTGACATTTTCAGTGATAACCACACTAGTTAGGGTCTTGCTTTATCTCTTTACCAACAGTGTTTTCCAACCTTTTGTGCCTCATGCCTTACATAGAACATGACAGCATTCTTCCAGAAGCTGGGATGAATGGATGAGAATGACCAAAGGTGCCAAGAGAATCATCCTGAGGGCTGAGAGGATCAATATCTTGACTTTGTTATAACCTATTTGCAGCACAATAATTGGGAAGCTTCACATCTGAGCTTAAAATAAATTAATGGTTGGTTTAAGTAAAACATTATTCGAGGCCGGGCGCGGTGGCTCACGCCTGTAATCCTAGCTCTCTGGGATGCTGAGGCGGGCGGATTGTTTGAGCTCAGGAGTTCGAAACCAGCCTGAGCAAGAGCGAGACCCCGTCTCTACTAAAAATAGAAAGAAATTAGTTGGACAACTAAAAATATATAGAAAAATTAGCCAGGCATGGTGGCACATGCCTGTAGTCCCAGCTACTCGGGAGGCTGAGGCAGTAGGATCGCTTGAGTCCAGGAGTTTGAGGTTGCTGTGAGCTAGGCTGACGCCACGGCACTCACTCTAGCCCGGGCAAAAGAGTGAGACTCTGTCTCAAAAAAAAAAAACAAAAAACATTATTCGTGGCCACGAATGGCTTTAATAATTAAGAAAGTTAAAATATTCATAGAATAAAAGCCTCTTAGGTTAATAATTATCAAATTAGTGTCTCAAACTAAATCATTCTGGAATGGCAAATGATTTGCTCAAGTATTTCTCTCTTATCTACTCCATTTGCAACTAACAGAAAAAAATTCTTACAACAAGTAGGCATTGAAAACTTGGTAGCCTGCTATAGACATTTACCATAGAAGAAAAAAAGATATGGATAACAAATTGGTTTTTATATGTGACAAATCCCACACAGGTCCACATCCCAGTCTGAACGACCTCTTTTAGTGTTAGCTGTGCTTACCTACTCTAGCAATTTCTTCATTGAGACCATTCAATTTCTGGTCAAGAATGGCTGAATGAGACTCCAAATTGCTCATGTATGCCTGATATTTTTGAACATCTCCTTGCAAGGATGCTTTCAGTTTTCTTAATGACTCTAGACGATTCTTTAAGAGAAAAGAATATTAAATTAGTTATTCTCATTAATAAGCACTCCATACTTTAAAGTAAAGCAGTATTACTTAAATTTATCTTAGAGAAAGGTAAATTTGAGTTTTCTTTTTACTTTTAGAGGGAGTCACAAGAACTAAAAGGGGACTGTACTATTATTACTTAATTAAGAAGATGGACTTTTTAAGAAGTCAGTTTGGGATAGAAAAAACCAAGGGCCAGGGTCAAAAAAGCACAAACATTTTAAATCTGGCATTTTATAGAACAGTCTGGGTGCTTCACTAATAATACACAAAATAAAATTAGATATCTGTACATTAACATTTAGCCTTTAGAAAACCCTTAGGATACAATATATTATATAAACCTACTTATTTCCATTCCTTTTTCACTAACTCCAAAACTCAGGGCCTCTTGTGAATAGTGCTCCCTGGAGATATGTAACATGGGACCTTGTTCAAAAGATACTTTTGGTCTTATGTAATTAGGTAAGAATCTTTCATCATATTCTGAGCACCATTAGTCTAAGACTGATAGAACACAAGGGACAATAAGGCTCCACAGATACCAAACATGTTTTCATTGGGAGTTCTATCCTGTATGAAAATTTAACTTTTAAGAAGCTTACTTTGTGAACCTATTTTTAAAAAATTTTGATAAGGAAGCTAGTATCCTCTAAGGAGACCCAAGAGTCTAAAAGAGCTTAAGTAAGTGTATAAACATATTTACTAACCGGTTCTTTTTCTCTTTCTTGTTCCAATCTTGCAATCTGTTCATTCAATGCTTTGTTTCTTGCTTCTAATGATTCCAGCTTGGAAGCATCTACATTAAATAAATCCTCTGGAGACAAAACCCAAAAACTTCATAAGATCTTAAATCTGCTTAAAGCATTCTTCCCTAGGTTTTCACCATTGCTCACTCCTTCACTTCCTTCTGGTCTCTGCTCAAAACACTATTAGTGAAGCACACACTATCCTTTACAAAACAGCATGCCCTTCCCATTACTCCACTGAACTTTCTATTCCCCTTGCGCTGCTTGAGTTTTCTCCATAGCACTTGTCATCGTTTGACTTTTAATTGCTCATTTCATTATTTTTCCTTTCTACTAAAATGTAAGTTCATAAGAGCAGGGATTTTTTAATCTCTTATTCATTACTGTATCCTCAGTGCCTAAATGGTGGCTGGTGCACAGTAGGTATACAGTAAATATTTGTTTGAATGAATGCAACTTATATGCTTAATTAATTATATATAGAAATGTCAAATTACTCACTGGATGCTTAGATCACTATGAATTTTCATCTCTTAAAACAAAACATCATTTATCTTGCTCCTTTTCCCATGTGAACAAGCTGAAATTATCCTGCTTACTCTTCAGGAAGGTACATTCCCAGGGGAACCTAAGGCAATGCTTTGACCGTTTGTGCTAATATTGGCAAAGTGACATTCTCCTATTTTGATTGACTCTATTCTCTTTGGAGAAATAGCTTCATACATGTTAGGTTTATCTATTTTACCTACCACTCTAGCATATTATATACAAGGCTATTTCAATAGAAGGAACAACATGTAAAATAATACCTTAGGAATATTTTAGAGTTAGCCAGTAAATACCGAATGTAACTTGACTAGATGATAGTACAGTGGAAAAGAATTTCCTTACTTGTCTGGAAATGTAATGTTCCATTAACTTTCTGCTGCAAGTTTGAAAGAGACCTTAGGTATTTTGACTAATTGGTGCTTTAATTTCTCTACGAATAAAGTAAGGACATCACAGGGATATTATCCCCCAGGAGGAATAACATTTGCTGATTATCTTCTGTGCTCTTGGTAGTGTATTTGGTACTCTCTTACACTGCCACGTAATCCTGCAAAACTCTGTCAGACAGGTCAAGTGCTGAGGTCACAGAGACAGGAAGGGCTTATGTCTCAGGTCTAGCTTGACATTAAGTATTCTGTCTGCTTAACTATTCTTCTCTCCACCAAAGCAACCATGAAGATAAAAACCAGCAGGCAGCCAGATGCATTTAACGTAAGTAGCCCAGATAAACACTGGATATGGTAAAATAAGCTACCACTCCACGAGCAGAGCTAAAAGATCAAAAGCAAGCATACTAGGAATGAGAACACTTACTTAGCTTTGACTGCAACTCTGCATTCATTTCTTCAAAGCTGTCAGCACCATTCATAAAACTCTCGTAGCATTTTATGGTGTAGTCCAAAAACAACTGAGTGGGTTAAGCAGATTTTAAACACAAAGTCATGATTCTCTATTTAGTTTGTTTCACTTTTCTAGGTAAAAATTTTAATTTGAATAAAACAAAGTCAGGAATATTAAGTAGTCATATAAGTTTTTATAAATAAGAGACACAAACTTAGGGTATATCATTAATTATCCTGTACAGACTTATGTGCTATTTCTAAATATGAATAATGAAGATGAAAATAATACATATTTGGATAAAAGTAATATTTAAAAATAGTAAGTACACCATACCTTCAGAATTTTGAGAAGGTCAAATAAGGAAGCTTATTAATGAATGTAACCCAACATAAAATGCACAAACTTAATCATCTTTAGGAATAAAGCACCTTATGGAAAATTTAAATAAATTGCTGATCATCTAAGTCCAATTAAACTGACAAGGTGTGATTGTGAAAACCAGAATGTAATTAATAAAGGCTACAATTATATTGTAACTTCAAGCTAAAAATTGGCATCATAAGTAGAGATCTATATAGTAGAACACTAGAATTCTTAATATTTATCCAAGAGAAAGTAACACTATAATTTGCAGTCATGAAACGTTTTGTTCACAGAGAATGCATACTTTATTAGGAGGCAAGAAGGTTGATCAGAATTTTCCATAGCCTAGATGAAGTAAATATCCCTCAAGACAAACCAATTCCCTTTGTGCTAATTCTCTGCTTACTAAGCAACCTTCTTATTACTTGGTTGATATGAAAAGGGTACCCTGATTAGGCAGTATGAGTATTCTATAACTGGAAAGGTAATAGTAAATTAATATATTTTCATTCTACTTCAGAGCCGTCTTTTGTGAATTTGGTAAGAGTGAATCAGTTTCCTTAAGCTTGGTCAATTTTGATCCTACAGATTAAAAAAATGATTTTTGTGGACCCACAAAGCTGAGCATCAGAATCTTATGAAGCTGGATACCCTGAAAGCTCTTTTTTTTTTTTTTTAAAGAGACGGGGTCTCACTGTGTCACCCAAGCTGTAGTGCAGTGGCATCATCCTAGCTCACTGCAGCCTCAAACTCCTGGGCTCAAGCAATCCTCCTGCCTCAGCCTCCTGAATAGCTGGGACTATAGGTGCATGCCACCACACCTGGCTAATTTTTCTTTTCTTTTTTTTTAAGAGATGGAATCTCACTATGTTCCCCAGGCTGGTCTTAAACACAAACAGCACTATATAGTTTCCAAAGTGCTTCTCTACATATTTTCATTTGAAATAATAGTTCAGATAACAAGAATAACATTTACTGGTTTAACCTTTAAGATGGATGTTAAGACATTTAATACTTAATAGGTATTGTTGTAATGGTACTTGGGTGAAAACTGTGGTGCAATTATTATAAATGTAGTCCAGGATACATATTGCAGTGTGGGAGGAAAATTCTTTCAAGAGTAGGATCAAAGGCTTTCTAGCAGCCTTTCCAGCTGGGATGATTGCTGAACTAGTTAAGGGGCATGTTTACTTTTTGTTAAAAAAAAAAAAAAAAAAAAAAAAAAGCAATGATACCACGACAGTCAGTTGATATATCTTGGAACTATTTCCTGGGCAGCAATAAAAGATGAGACCGAAATTATTCCTACTTTTCCTTTTGTGACAAAGGTTCCGAAAAGTGAAGGTTAGAACTAGAACAGAGAATAGTTTTTCTTCTTAGGGGCCTGTGTGGTGATTGGCCTTTTATGCATGCTAGGGGATGTTAATATATAATCTCAACATTTTAAATTTATTTCTCAGAGTTGGTGTTTGCTCCATTTGGATATAGATATTTGCATATTTTAGGAAATAGTATGGGATTAGTTACATAGTTTAGGCTCTAATAAAGTATATGGTGGGAGAACCAATTCAGACCACCTATTACTTTTATTTCAACCACTTTTGGAAGTGATGACTCTGAGCTAAGTTGCAATATGCCTAACTAAAAAGGCCAAAACAGGCCGGCGCGGTAGCTCACGCCTGTAATCCTAGATCTCTGGGAGGCCGAGGTGGGCGGATTGTTTGAGCTCAGGAGTTCGAAACCAGCCTGAGCAAGAGCGAGACCCCGTCTCTACTAAAAATAGAAAGAAATTAATCGGACAACTAAAAATATATAGAAAAAATTAGCCGGGCATGGTGGCGCATGCCTGTAGTCCCAGCTACTCGGGAGGCTGAGGCAGGAGGATCGCTTGACCCCAGGAGTTCGAGGTTGCTGTGAGCTAGGATGATGCCATGGCACTCTAGCCCAGGCAACACAGTGAGACTGTCTCAAAAAAAAAAAAAAAAAGGCCAAAACAAAATAAACAAAAAACACACATGCAATATATTAAGACTCAATCTGTTATGATTTGTATTAAAAAAGAATTATATTAAAATAATGTTGCCAGTATTGATATCTACATTCTGAGAATAAGAGAAAGGAGGAAAAGAAACATTACATCTGTAACATGTAATAATAACATCTTATGATTTAATTACAAGCCCCTTGAATTTTTTACTTAGTTAACATTTTCAAATTTCTGTGCCTAGTTAATTTTAGGAAATTATAATGTGACTTCAACAGGAGATCCATTGATTAATATTTTGAAAAATCAATTTTACAATTTTTCAGAAAGCAGAAGGACAACTCTACAAAAGAATATACAGATGGTCCCTGACTTACGATGGTTTGACTTAAGATTTTTCAGCTTTACGTAGGTGTGAAAGCATTCAGTAGAAACCATACTTCGAGTATCTATAAAACCATTTTGTTTTTCACTTTCAGTATTCAATAAATTACATGAGATAGTCAACACTTTTATTATAAAGTAGGCTTTGTGTTGGATGATTGTGCCCAACTGTAGGCTAATGTAAGTGTTCTAAGCATGTTTACAGTAGACTAGATAAAGCTATGATGTTTGGTAGGTTAGGTGTATTCAAAGTATTTTTGATTTATAGTATTTTCAACTTATGATGGGTTTCTTGGGATGTTGCTCCATGGTAAGTTGAAGAGCATCTGTATTAACTTCAATAGTGACATTTAGTGAATAATTTCAAAGCAACTCATTATTATAGTTTATGGTGATGTATGGTACCTTATTATGCATAATTCCATCTTCGGTTTCTTCTCCCCAAGGCTGTCCATCATCAAATAAGGGTGAGCTTTCTTTCATGGCAGTATGTATCTAATCGGTACACAAGTAACATTAAGTTAATTAAATTCATGTGAAAAACATATAGCTTTCATGTTCTGCCAATTCTGTCTTTAGTGTCTTTTTCAGAAACATTTACATTATTGTATGACTCAGTCTCTTTTATTATTATAAAAGAGCCCTGAAATACTTTTGATTTTCTTTCAAATCAAAAAAGATTTGAAAGTATCCTTTTGATACTTTCAAAATCTTTTACATTTTTTAGTAACTAAACCCCCTCAGGATTTAGAAAGGGTGGGCTCCATATTTAGTCCTGTTCTTTTCTGCTGACCTTTATGCTGTTGTTAACCCACTGAGAGCATTTACATACATTTTAATGCAACTCCAAGAATTCAAAACAGAACCTCCACATAAAAGGTGAACTAGTAATTCTTCTCTTTTACATGAGCTCAATTTTGGTGCTCAAATGTTATCTGACTCCTTCAGTACATACAAATATGAATTTTAGATCGAATTTTACAATTAAATCTTCAGAAATACTATAGTTCTTTAAAATTGGAAGTGATAACCAAAATTATAGCAAAACATTCAGATATTTATAATTGACAACTAAAAGGAAAATAGCTCAATGTTTTTAAGGCACAGAAATTCCATTTTGTAACAACTGTTGTATAACTTTTAAAAAAATACATAACCTTTCAAATATGAAAAAAATTTAAAAATTTAAATGAAGTTGCTATAAAATGTATAGATATAGTTATATTAGATATAAGTATATAAATATTTATACCTAGATATTATATAGATATGTTTACATATATTTATATTTATGTAAATAGGTATAAATATTTATATATTTATATCTAGTATAGTGAACATTAAGTATAAGAATACTAACTTTTAAGAAAAGGACCACACATTAAGAATACATAAAAGCAGAATGTGGTTTCTGTTGAAGGCATTCCTAACACTTTTTGTATATCTAGGGAAGATGCAGGGGAGCTCTATTAACTCATCCTCTACTTCATCTGTCTTCAATGAGGTCTCAGGTGACAGATTTAATGATGTCTAAAAGACATGTAAGGTAGAACCCAAGAAGAAGAATAGAATCTTCTACCCGGTCATCAGGGTAAAGACAGCTATTGTTCCTTGTCAAAGGTCCTTGTGAAAACTCTTGCTACTCTGCAAGGAAAGCCTTACCACAGGGACAAACATATCTCCAGAACTTATAGAAAAGCCTCTACTGAAAGAACAGAAAAGTTCTCAACTAAGGAGAAGATTTGGTTGAAATGGTTTCAACCTGAAGTTATATATTCAGATTTAAACACAACACAAAGAAGCCATAAAAACCGGGGAAAAAATTGGAAGAACTTTTTAAAAAACTTTTTCTTCAATATGGATTTTAATTTAAAAGGGGGAAAAATAAATTTCATGGAGGAAAATAAGAAATCAGTTTCCTATTGACTCACTTTTTTGGAGGTGTAAAAGTTCATGAAAACATAATCTCCTTGCCAATGTGGTACTTCTTTCCCCTTACCTCTGGTATCACATGTTAACAGTTTGAAAATCAATCCAAAATCAAATGTGCTTCGAAAAATGAAAACTCTGAAGTGGATTTTGAGAAAATTGGCAAAAGCAAGATTGGCAGAGAAACAGAAATATCTTTTTGAGAGAAAATCCCCTCTCATATGTGTAATTCAAAAAGGACAAATCAAATACCTTGATGCAGTCTATTAGCCAAACCAAGGCTGACACAATATGAGGCCATGTATGAGGGGCCCCCACTGTATACATGGAGCTTTTGGATAGTGCAAAAGGATACCTATGAAAAATTAGAAAAGATAAGCTAACTTAATACGTTAATTCAGTAAAAATAATGGCTAAATTAATTAAGAAGTTACATTTTAAAAATTCTACATACATTCCCACAGTCTTGATTTGTTTAGAAGATAGTTGTTGAGATTCTGTCCTTAGTCATCCTACTTTCCAATGATTTTGTGTATTTTTTGGTTTCTTCTCTGCAGATTACTTTGTAGTTATACTCTTTAAGCTGCAGAACTTGATTTATTCAACCAATATGCTGGACTTCACTTTCAAAGGTCTTTTGGTCTCTCAAATTCAATGCACCCTCAATAAACTACATGTATGCACATTTCTGAATCCATTCTTCCCTCTTTCAACTTCATCGCATCCCATTTGTACCAGGCCTCAATCCTATTCTATAGATTCTGTGGTATCCAGCCTGTCCTTTCTATTCCCCAGCAGTTCAGGGCCTTATGTTCTATCACCTGCTGTTCTGTAATAACCTACAAATAGCTGTTTTTTGTTTTGCTTTTTCTCCCTCTTCAATTTATTGTACATATAGTACCCACAGCGATCATCTTAAAACATGTTATTTTTCTAATTCAAATTCTTTACAAATCTATTGAGTTTGATTCTTTTCTGTGTTCCAATAATATCTCTAACTAATGACAAATATACATACCCAAGATCTTTAAAGATTCTTGGAACTTCTTCTTCAAACTTTGTGTCAGGAAGTTCGTATGAGGGACACAGGAAGCCATAAAGAAAAGTGAAGATCTTTAAGAAGTCCTTAACAGATGGAGCCTGTAGAGATTTCATGGATACACTATGTGCATAACCATTTTCTGTAAGAAACTACAATAATTTTTATGAAACATCAAGCATTCCTTAATAGAAAATTATTGGAAAATACCTGAGACAACATACAGAATTTAGAACGTTTCAAATTACGAAGTACCTCACAGAGTTGTCGAATACACTGCTGAATGAATGCTTTGTCATTAAGTGGTCTTGGGTCCTTAATTTTTTCAGAACTGGAAAATATACCAAGTTGACTATTCCGGGATCCATGTCCACTAGTTCTGGAAACACATTTTTAAAAAGTCAGTCAAAACTTTTTCCTTCTGTAGTCAAGTCTAAATTATTTCAAGGTGATTTTATATTTTAACATCGGCATGAAACATCAAAGTTTAACTCTTTAATTCTTATTTAACTAAACAGAATCCTCTTATTCAAAGCAGAGAAAAAGAGCAAATAATGAAAAGTATGAGGTTATATCTATCAACAGACAGATATAAAGTGAGGCAAGAAAAAAACCCCACTTGTGATGCTTTACATTACCAACACACATATCATACTCTGAGATTGTACATTTCAAGTACCCTAGATCTTCTGCACCAACTATTCTCTGGTATATTGAATAACCAAAGTCCTTTTACTATTCTATTTACCGCCCCATGACTGCTCCCTTACTCCCAACCCTTTCATTTGCCACTATTTCTTGTGGGAAAGCTGCCTTTGAGATATGTTAAAATAGGTTGTGCAGGCTTTTTCTCAACAACATTTCTGTCACGCAATACCTACATTATGTATCTGATTGTGATTTACCATAAATATATATGTTGCTACTTTTTAGTCATTAATGGCTGTAGCATATATGCTACATCCCCCAAATAAAAGTTTATTTGTTTAAATAATCTTTATAATGGTTCCTTTTGCCCTTTTTGTGGCCCAATTTAGCTAACCATTGTAGCTTATTAAATATCCTCAGAACAATAATTTTCCTTATTGCACAAAAGTTACAAAATTGACTTACAACAAATATTGCTATTAATATCTAAACATTATTCATCAAAACTTCATTTCTCCCTACAAGCTGCTTGCAAATTCTTTTCTGCTGAGGATCTAAGAGCTCTTCAGTTTGGGCTCTCTTACTCAACTACCCTGATGAATTATCTAATTAATTAGCTTATTTTTCCTGAATTTACTAGTATAAGAAGTTTTTTTCTACATATTGCTATTACTTAACCTTTAAAATTTTTTTTTCACAATAAAAGAGGCATATAGGTTCAGCAAAACTGCACTGATATCTTTTTAAATTTCAAGAGAATTTTCCACCCAATCAAAATACCATATCATTCAATTTATTGGTTAAAGAGCATAAGGTTTAGAGCCGGAATGTATGGTTTCAAATTCTGTCCCTGTTACTAGTTGTGTGACCTTGGGTAAGTTACATAACCTCTCTGTGCTTCAATTTCCTTATGTATAAAACGGAGACAATAATAGTACCTCCTCATAGGGCAGTTCTGAGGATTGATTAAAAGAGTTGATATAGATAAAGCACTTAAAACAATGTCTGGCCTATAGGAACGCTCAACAAATGTTAGGCTTCATAATTATTATGAACTCTGAAGTTTAGCTCTGAGATGAGTTATATTACAACAATGCCTTAAGATTTTTCATCAAATAGAATAAATACCAGAAATGGAGGTTTAACTTGGTTTCATGGCAGAGACTCTTTTAATAAGGTGACAAATATTTCATCTCTAAATATTTTCAAAACAATTGAGGAAACAGGTTTGTCTTTTTTTCTTTTTTTTAGATTAAACAATGTTATAGTTTAAGAGGAGAAAAAAGACAGCAAATAGTTCATTACAGGAAATGGGGTAGAATGGGAGCAGTGATTAGTTAGATTTAGAAATGTCAAGTTACTTTGGGATATTTGTTCACTTGATTTGGATTTTTCAGGTCATTTGTGATTTTAGTAAGCTATGAATTATGAAAAAAAGTCCTTTTCAAATGGTTAACAGTTAAAGGAAAAAAAAATACAAGTCTGGGCTGTAACAAAAGTGAGGCTGTTGCTATTGTCTTGCCTCTCATTCACTTCTCATTCCTCAGCAATCTGGACTCTGATCCTCCAAATTTTTCTCCTTCCATTTCCCTGCTCATTTTTCACTTTTCTTTTTTTTTCTTTTGAGACAGAGTCTCACTCTGTTGCCTAGGCTAGAGTGCCGTGGCATCAGCCTAGCTCACAGCAACCTCAAACTCCCGGGCTCCAGTGATCCTGCTGCCTCAGCCTCCTAAGTAGCTGGGACTACAGGCATGTGCCACCATGCCCAGCTAATTTTTTCTATATGTTTTTAGTTGTCCAGCTAATTTCTTTCTATATTTTTAGTAGAG